GGAGGGAAGGAAGGAGTGAAAGAAAGAAGGAGGAGAAAGAGGGAGGGAAGGTTTGCCACAGCAGCGCAAGGAGGATATTATAAAAATAATAAAACTCCCGTCCTTCCCTGCGAGAAATATAAATACTGCAAATAAATAAATAAATAATAAAACTCCCGTCCTTCCCTGCAGGAAATATAAATACTGTAAATAAATAAATACACATACACAAATAAATAATAAAACTCCCGTCCTGTCCTCCCCGGTTCTCGTACCTGGCAAGAGAACCATCCTTCAGGTGTGCAAAGGCAGGCCTTTTTTCCCGCTCGCCGGTCAAAATAAAAGCCATTGTACTTCTCGGACTTCAGCTTCTCCAGCATGGCTTCGGCGATCTGTTGGAATTTCACACGGACAGGCGGAGGGAGCGTGGAAGCGTAAGCACCGACCTGAGAGCAGGAACAGAAAACCAAACACTGCAGCCTACTCTCAAGTAGGAAAATTAGGTACCATTTATGCGAGACTAATTTTGAAAATTTACGACGCCATAAAAATCTCCAGCAGCGTGCAACAGAATGAGGAAGTACTCCATTGGTGTCACAAGTAGATTGTGAAGCGACAGCTCCCCCGGTGGCCGGAATTCAAGCATACCCGACTTACCTCTTTCATGTAGCTTCGGATCCTGCTCTCGCAACTATAGCGCATGTAGCCGGACTTTGTCTTGAAGCGAGATTCAACACCTGGAAGCGACGGTGAAGCAAACGTCAGCTCCTCCGACAAAGAGCCTCCCTTTGACGTCAATCCCCGAGAATCAAGGAAGAAACGTGAGGAACTCACCTTGGAACCATTTCTCGTCATCTTCCCGGCTTTCCGCTTCGATGTTTTGGCTGAGATTGTGAATCAAGTCCGCCAGGAGTTTCCGTTTCTTGGGGGCTTCTTCGCCGGAGAGCAGGCCTTGCGCCGCGCGGACAACGTGGTCGGCTTGGCTGGAAAAGGCGTGGAGGAAGCGCTGGATCTCACTCACGTCTGGTTCAGGAAAGACCAAATATACGAGCGATTTAGGTCTTTTGAACTATTATCGTTTTGTTCAAGTACAGTATGATTCTCAGGCTTCATTCATCCATCTTAGAATTACATTTCCTGGAAGGGGGGGGGGTGCTTAGGAGCAGCTTGGAGGGAAATGTGGGCAGTTTGTGATTGGCTGGGAAAGTGGGCAGAGCTTAACTTGGAAAAAGAATTGTATACCTTTTGCAGGGCAGAGTGAGCTCAAGAAGTGGGCCCAGGAAGTCCAGCAGCCATTTTAGAAGTTTGCATGGGGGCATCCATCTTAGAATCGCATTTCCTGGAGGGGGCGTGCTTAGGAGCAGCTTGGAGAAAAATGTGGGCAGGTCGTGATTGGCTGGGAGAGAATGGGCAGAGCTTAACTTGGAAAAAGAATTGCATACCTTTTGCAGGGCAGAGTGAGCTCAAGAAGTGGGTCCAGGAAGTCCAGCAGCCATTTTAGAAGGGTGCATGGGGGTATCCATCTTAGAATCTCATTTCCTGGAGGGGGCGTGCTTAGGAGCAGCTTGGAGGGAAATGTGGGCGGTTTGTGATTGGCTGGGAGAGAGTGGGCAGAGCTTAACTTGGAAGTCCAGCATCCATTTTAGAAGAGTGCATGGGGGCATCCATCTTAGAATCTCATTTCCTGGAGGGGGCGTGCTTAGGAGCAGCTTGGAGGGAAATGTGGGCAGTTTGTGATTGGCTGGGAGAAAGTGGGCGGAGCTTAACTTGGAAAAAGAAAAAAATGACTATAAGGGTGTGTTTTAAATCCTGACAGCTGAGTTAAGGTCTGTGTGTCAAACGAGGAGAGAGGAGTCAGAGAAACAGAGTTAGAGAGCTTGAAGTTGGTCAGTTAATGAGCAGAGTTAGTGAGTGAGAAGATTTACAGCTATTGGGAAGGATAGCTGGGGACTGTCTGTGTGGAGTTTAGGATTACTAGGCAGAGAGGAACCCTGTCAGTAGTTTCTGGAGGAAGAGAGGAGTGTTATGTGCAACTAAGTTTTGAACTGTTTAAAGACACCATATGCTTTATTCAACATTGAAACAGATAAGCTTAATGCCTGTTTTGTTCAAGTTCTCTCAAATAAACAACAGTGTTACTGGTTCACTACAACTGCCTCACGTGTGCATAACTCCCTCATCTATTATATTTGGTGGCAGCTGGTGGGATTTGGTATCAAATAAGTCCCTATCTTATTATACATGTCAAGCGTGCCTTTCCTGAGTATGTGAGTAAAAAAAGCACCTTCAGATGTGGTTTAGGGGGCCCGTGAAGCCTAGACAGACTTGGGTGGTCCCATCTCTAGGATCTGACACCTCACACACTTTTAGTGTCAGGAATTTTAAGAGAAGGGACCCTCCAGCCTGCATTTCTTTCTTAAAGTTTGAGCATACTTACATCCCTGCCACTCTTCTCCCGGAGCTAACAAGACCAGCTCGGAATTATCCGGAATCTTCCAGAAATAGGTTTCTGTCACCTCCGTCCCGTCTTCGTACAGACACAGCCGGGGCTCGGAGGAAGGAAGCTAAGGGAGAAGCCAACCGTGGAGTCAACCAACAAGGTATGATACACAACCGGTTTCAAGGAAGCATCAAGGTGACTTGGGGTGCACCTACGGATTCCGTGGCTGAATGCTAGGGAATTCTGGGAGTCACCATTTCCCAAGGTCTTAACTCAGACCTCCCGTGTTTTAAAACTGTAAATAAGAATAATAATAAGAGAACACCAACTGACACTCTGAAGCCAGAGTGAAGAGGGGAAGCAAGGAAGACAGATTTCCATTTCTCCTGGGTCATCGGATGAGAACCCCTCCTCACAACAACAATACTACATCTATCTGCCACCTCAGGAGGAGAAGGAGGAAATCCTGCTCCTATTCTCCCCCTCCCAAGCCATCTAAGAAGAGGGACTGAGGAAGGGACTTTAAAAACACCTGTCATCAGGCTGTTGCTTACTACCTCTGCCTGCCACCTCAGGAGAAGGATGAAATCCTGCTGCTACTCTCCCCCTCCCAAACTAGCTAAGAGGAGGAAGGGGACTGAGGAAGAGTCTTTAAAAACATCTGTCTCCTGGCTGTTGCTTACTACATCTGTCTGCCACCTCAGGAGGAGAAAGAGGAAATCCTGCTGCTACTCTCCCCCTCCCAAGCCAGCTAAGAGGAGGAAGGGGCCTGAGGAAGAGACTTTAAAAACACCTGTCTCCTGGCTGTTGCTTACTACATCTGTCTGCCACCTCAGGAGGAGAAAGAGGAAATCCTGCTGCTACTCTCCCCCTCCCAAGCCAGCTAAGAGGAGGAAGGGGACTGAGGAAGAGACTTTAAAAACACCTGTCTCCTGGCTGTTGCTTACTACATCTGCCTGCCACCTCAGGAGGAGAAGGAGGAAATCCTGCTGCTACTCTCCCCCTCCCAAGCCAGCTAAGAGGAGGAAGGGGACTGAGGAAGAGACTTTAAAAACACCTGTCTCCTGGCTGTTGCTTACTACATCTGTCTGCCACCTCAGGAGGAGAAAGAGGAAATCCTGCTGCTACTCTCCCCCTCCCAAGCCAGCTAAGAGGAGGAAGGGGACTGAGGAAGAGACTTTAAAAACACCTGTCTCCTGGCTGTTGTTTACTACATCTGCCTGCCACCTCAGGAGGAGAAAGAAGAAATCCTGCTGCTACTCTCCCCCTCCCAAGCCAGCTAAGAGGAGGAAGGGGACTGAGGAAGAGACTTTAAAAACACCTGTCTCCTGGCTGTTGCTTACTACATCTGCCTGCCACCTCAGAAGGAGAAGGAGGAAATCCTGCTGCTACTCTCCCCCTCCCAAGCCAGCTAAGAGGAGGAAGGGGACTGAGGAAGAGACTTTAAAAACACCTGTCTCCTGGCTGTTGCTTACTACATCTGTCTGCCACCTCAGGAGGAGAAAGAGGAAATCCTGCTGCTACTCTCCCCTCCCAAGCCAGCTAAGAGGAGGAAGGGGACTGAGGAAGAGACTTTAAAAACACCTGTCTCCTGGCTGTTGTCTTACTACATCTGCCTGCCACCTCAGGAGGAGAAGGAGGAAATCCTGCTGCTACTCCCCCTCCCAAGCCAGCTAAGAGGAGGAAGGGGACTGAGGAAGAGACTTTAAAAACACTTGTCTCCTGGCTGTTGCTTACTACATCTGTCTGCCACCTCAGGAGGAGAAAGAGGAAATCCTGCTGCTACTCTCCCCCTCCCAAGCCAGCTAAGAGGAGGAAGGGGACTGAGGAAGAGACTTTAAAAACACCTGTCTCCTGGCTGTTGTTTACTACATCTGCCTGCCACCTCAGGAGGAGAAAGAAGAAATCCTGCTGCTACTCTCCCCCTCCCAAGCCAGCTAAGAGGAGGAAGGGGACTGAGGAAGAGACTTTAAAAACACCTGTCTCCTGGCTGTTGCTTACTACATCTGTCTGCCACCTCAGGAGGAGAAAGAGGAAATCCTGCTGCTACTCTCCCCCTCCCAAGCCAGCTAAGAGGAGGAAGGGGACTGAGGAAGATACTTTAAAAACACCTGTCCTGGCTGTTGTTTACTACATCTGCCTGCCACCTCAAGAGGAGAAAGAAGAAATCCTGCTGCTACTCTCCCCCTCCCAAGCCAGCTAAGAGGAGGAAGGGGCCTGAGGAAGAGACTTTAAAAACACCTGTCTCCTGGCTGTTGCTTACTACATCTGTCTGCCACCTCAGGAGGAGAAAGAGGAAATCCTGCTGCTACTCTCCCCCTCCCAAGCCAGCTAAGAGGAGGAAGGGGACTGAGGAAGAGACTTTAAAAACACCTGTCTCCTGGCTGTTGCTTACTACATCTGCCTGCCACCTCAGGAGGAGAAGGAGGAAATCCTGCTGCTACTCTCCCCCTCCCAAGCCAGCTAAGAGGAGGAAGGGGACTGAGGAAGAGACTTTAAAAACACCTGTCTCCTGGCTGTTGCTTACTACATCTGCCTGCCACCTCAGGAGGAGAAAGAGGAAATCCTGCTGCTACTCTCCCCCTCCCAAGCCAGCTAAGAGGAGGAAGGGGACTGAGGAAGAGACTTTAAAAACACTTGTCTCCTGGCTGTTGCTTACTACATCTGTCTGCCACCTCAGGAGGAGAAAGAGGAAATCCTGCTGCTACTCTCCCCCTCCCAAGCCAGCTAAGAGGAGGAAGGGGACTGAGGAAGAGACTTTAAAAACACCTGTCTCCTGGCTGTTGTTTACTACATCTGCCTGCCACCTCAGGAGGAGAAAGAAGAAATCCTGCTGCTACTCTCCCCCTCCCAAGCCAGCTAAGAGGAGGAAGGGGCCTGAGGAAGAGACTTTAAAAACACCTGTCTCCTGGCTGTTGCTTACTACATCTGCCTGCCACCTCAGGAGGAGAAGGAGGAAATCCTGCTGCTACTCTCCCCCTCCCAAGCCAGCTAAGAGGAGGAAGGGGACTGAGGAAGAGACTTTAAAAACACTTGTCTCCTGGCTGTTGCTTATTATTTCCGTTGTGGTTTTATATTGTATTTAATGATTTTATGTGCATTTTGATATTATGTATATTACTTGCTGCCTGAGGCTGAGAAAGGCAGTATACAAATACAGTAGATAAATAAATAATAAAACTTTATTTATACCCCGCCACCATCTCCCCAAGAATTCCATGATTCTATTCTTCGCAGATACGTTTGGCGGGGATGAGAAACAGGGCCTTCTTGGCGGTGGTTCCTCGGCTGTGGAACGCCCTTCCTAGGGATATAAGATGGGCCTTCTGACATTCTGAAAGAAAGGTTAAAACCTGGGTTTTTGAGCAAGCTTTCAATTATTATATAACGATATATATATATATATATATATATATATATATATATAGTAAAGGTAGTCCCCTGACATTAAGTCCAGTCATGTCTGACTCTGGGGTGTGGTGCTCATCTCCATTTCTAAGCCGAAGAGCCAGCGTTGTCCGTAGACACCTCCAAGGTCATGTGGCCGGCATGACTGCATGGAGCGCCGTTACCTTCCCGCCGGAGCGGTACCTATTCATCTACTCACATTTGCATGTTTTCGAACTGCTAGGTTGGCAGAAGCTAGGGCTGACAGCGGAAGCTCACGCCGCTCCCCGGAATCGAACCTGCGACCTTTCGATCAACAAGCTCAGCAGCTCAGTACTTTAACCCACTGCGCCACCGGGGGCTCCCATATATATATATATATATATATATATATATATATATATATATATATAATATTATAATGTAATATAATATAATACTATTAATAATATATTATAATTATATATATTTAGGTACTGCTTATGATATTATAATTATATATTTTATATTACATGTAATATTGCTAACAATTTTATTAATATTAATATTGTATAATTAATTATATTAATATATTATTATTATATTATTATAATATAATAATTATTATTAATATATTATTATATATTATATATTATTATATATATTATTATAACATTACTACTAATATTATTATTATATTATTAATATATATTAATAATATTACAATATATTGGTATAGTACAATATAGCAATATATAATACTGATATTGTACTATGCCAATAATATAATATATTGTAAATATATATATATATAATAATATTTATAATATTATAATGTAATACAATATAATACTATTATAATAATTATATTTTATCTATTATATTATAATATATATATGTATATACAATATATTATAATTATATTATTTATATACTGCTTATGATATTATAATTATATATTTCATATTGCATGTAATATTAACAATATTATTAATAATATTAATATTAATATATTACAATTAATATATTATTAATAATATGATTATAAAGTAATTATTAATATATTATTATATATTAATATATTATTATGCATGTAATATTATTAACAATATTATTAATATTAATATTAATATATTATAATTAATATATTAGTAATAATATAATAATAAATATTATTATTAACATATTATTATAATATTAATATATTCTCATTACTACTTCAACATCCTTAATATATTATTAATATATTATTGATATATATTTAATATTATAATACATTACAATGGGATAGTACAATATAAGTAATATATAATACTGATATTGTACTATGCAATAATATATATATTGTATGTATAATATATATATATATATATATATATATATATATATATATAATATTATAATGTAATATAATATAATACTATTAATAATATATTATAATTATATATATTTAGGTACTGCTTATGATATTATAATTATATATTTTATATTACATGTAATATTGCTAACAATTTTATTATTAATATTAATATATAATATTAATATATATTAATTATATTATATATTATATATAATTATATATTAATATATTATTAATAATATATAATAATATATAATTATAATATATTATTATATATTATATTAATTATAATATTATATATATATTATATATATTAATAATATTTAATATAATATATATAATATAATAATATAATTATAATATATATATTATATATTATAATTATATATATTTTAGTACTGCTTATGATATTATAATTATATATTTCATATTGCATGTAATATTAACAATATTATTAATAATATTAATATTAATATATTACAATTAATATATTATTAATAATATGATTATAAAGTAATTATTAATATATTATTATATATTAATATATTATTATGCATGTAATATTATTAACAATATTATTAATATTAATATTAATATATTATAATTAATATATTAGTAATAATATAATAAGAAAATTATTATTAACATATTATTATAATATTAATATATTCTCATTACTAATATTAATAACCTTAATATATTATTAATATATTATTGAATTATTAGTAATATTACTAATATTATTATTATTATTAATAATAATATATTAATAATATTATTACATTACAATGGGATAGTACAATATAGTAATATATAATACTGATATTGTACTATGCCAATGATATAATATTTTGTATGTATAAATATACATATATATATATAACTTGTATATATCTCAAAGGATTCCCCCAGACAGTAAGAAGCCAGACCTTGAACCTGTTAGGCCATTCAATGCTAATCAAGGCACCTTGAGGAGGGCGCAGGCCTTGGAGAGCAGCTCCTTCAGGTTCTTGGCCGCCACCCCGAATTTCCTGCCTTCTCCAGGACGGCGAAGCTTGAAAGCCTTGCTCCCCATTTTCCGCCGGAAGCCGGCCTCGAACCCGCGACCTCCTGATCGTGTTTCTCTACATGCGAGCGCTGATTGGCCAGCAAGGGCTGTCACTCACGAAACGGCACCGCCTCCTCTTTGGTCCTTCAAGGCGCTGCCAGCGACCTCCTGATTGTGTTTCTCTACATGCGAGCGCTGATTGGCCAGGAAGGGCTGTCACTCACGAAACGGCACCGCCTCCTCTTTCGTCCTTAAAGGCGCAGCGCCTCATTTCCGCCACTCCTACATACGGGGACTCCGGAGAAACAAAAACAAACCAAGCACGGAGGGAATGACTTTTTTTTGTATTCTCCGCGCATGCGCACTACAGCAGAACACATCCTCCGTTGAGAACTTTTTTCTGTAATCTCCGCGCATGCGCACTACAGGAGAACACGTCCTCCGTTGAGAATGATTTTTTTCTGTATTCTCCGCGCATGCGCACTACAGGAGAACACATAATTGAGAATGGATTTTTTTGTATTCTCCGCGCATGCGCACAACAGCAGAACACATCGTTGAGAATGACGTTTTTTGGTATTCTCAGCGCATGCGCACTACAGGAGAAGACATCCTCCGTTGAGAATGACTTTTTTCTGTATTCTCCGCGCATGCGTACTACAGGAGAACACATAATTGAGAATGGATTTTTTTGTATTCTCCGCGCATGCGCACAACAGCAGAACACATCGTTGAGAATGACGTTTTTTGGTATTCTCCGCGCATGCGCACTACAGAAGAAGACATCCACCGTTGAGAATGACTTTTTTTCTGTATTCTCCGCGCATGCGCACTACAGTAGAACTCATCCGTTGAGAATTTTTTCTTTGTATTCTCCGCGCATGCGCACAACAGAACACTCCCTCCGTTGACGTCACCGCCCCTTGAGGGGAAAAAAACCGTGGCCGATGATTGGTTGGCGGGCTTTTCCCCGCCCAGTGACGTCACCGCTCTTTGTCCTCTCTCTCTTCCGGCTTGGCGGCGCATGCGCAGTGGCGTCCGAAGCGGTTGCTAGGAGATGAAAGTGGCCCTAGTGATGGAGCCGGAATAAAGTAGGTAGGAAAGAAAGAAGGAAGGAAAGAGGGAAGGGAGGGAAAGGAAGAGGGGCCCCCGCCAGGCCACAATGAGCCACGGGCCTGGGGGACTCCCTGCCACAAGGTGAGGAGGGCCAGGCGAGGATTCCTTGGCAAGAGGCCTGGGCTAGGCCTAGTAGGAGTAGTAGTCGTCATAGGAGTAGTATTACACCAATATATGAATATTGTACTAGTATTATTATACTAATATACCAATATTATACCAATACATTAGTGTATTATGGATGTATTAATAATACTAATATTATAATATTGATATACTACTAATATTCCAGTATAATATTGGTATATTAGTATAATAATACTAGTATAATATTAGTATATTGGTATAATAATGCTAATATTATAATACTGATGAAATACTAATATTATAGTAAAATATTAGTATAGTAATACTGGTGTAATATTAGTATATTGGTAAAATAATACTAGTATAATATTAGTATATTGGTATAATATACCAATATTATATATTGGTATATATATATACCAATATATATAACAGTGTCCAGAGGAGAGCGACTAAAATGATAAAAGGTCTGGAGAACAAGCCCTATGAAGAGCGGCTTAAGGAGCTGGGCATGTTTAGCCTGAAGAAGAGAAGGCTGAGAGGGGATATGATAGCCATGTATAAATAAGTGAGAGGAAGCCACAGGGAGGAGGGAGCAAGCTTGTTTTCTGCTTCCCTGGAGACTAGGACGCGGAACAATGGCTTCAAACTACAAAAAAGGAGATTCCATCTGAACACGAGGAAGAACTTCCTGACTGTGAGAGCCATTCAGCAGTGGAACTCTCTGCCCCGGAGTGTGGTGGAGGCTCCTTCTTTGGAAGCTTTTAAACAGAGGCTGGATGGCCATCTGTCAGGGGTGATTTGAATGCAATATTCCTGCTTCTTGGCAGAATGGGGTTGGACTGGATGGCCCAGGAGGTCTCTTCCAACTCTTTGATTCTATGATTCTACTACTAATATTCCAGTATAATATTGGTATATTAGTATAATAATACTAGAATGGATGTCCAAAGAACTTCTAACTGTGCTATGACACAAAAGAGACATGCACAAGAAGAATATTATAATATTGATATATTAGTAGTATATCAATATTATAATATTAGTATTATTATTACACCCATAATACACTAATATTATACTATAATATAAGTATTGCGGACCTTTTCCCGACAGGTGTTGGCTCTTTGTTGGAATTCTTCTTTGGTGATTTCTCCCTTTTGCCACTTCTTGTGCATGTCTCTTTTGTGTCTTAGCATAGTTATAAGTTAGAACAGTGGTTCTCAACCTTCCTAATGCCGTGACCCCTTAATACAGTTCCTCATGTTGTGGTGACCCCCCAATCATAAAATTATTTTCATTGCTACTTCATAACTCTAATTTTGCTACTGTTATGAATTGCAACGTAAACATCTGGTATGCAGGATGTATTTTCATTCACTGGACCAAATTTGGCACAAATACCTGATATGCCCAAATTTGAAAACTAGTGGGGTTGAGAGGGGATTGATTTTGTCATTTGGGAGTTGTAGTTGCTGGGATTTATAGTTCACCTACAATCAAAGGACATTCCGAACTTCATCAACAATGGAATTGAATTGAATCAAACTTGCCACATAGAACTCCCAAGACCAACACAAAATACTGAAAGGGTTTGGTGTGCACTGACCTTGATTTTTAGAATTATAGTTCATCTACATCAGAGAGCACTGTGGACTCAAATGAGGGAGGATCTGGATCAAACTTGGCACAAATCCCCAATATGCCCAAATGTGAACGTTGGGGAGTTTGGGAAAAGTTCAGTGGTTCTCAACCTTTCTAATGCAGAAGGAGGCAAGGGACGGGTGGATGGCTTCGCGCGGGGCCTAGGCGCCCTGGGAAGATCAGGAGGAAGAGCCTACCAGGAGTGCCATTGGTTCAGGGGGTCGGCCGCCATTTTGGAGGGGCGTGGCCAGCCAAGGCGGCTTCGCGACCCCCAGAAAATGGCCGAACGACCCCCCGAGGGGTCGCGACCCCCAGGTTGAGAACCGCTGTCTTAGCACAATACTAATATTAGCATTATTATTTATTTACTTACTTTATTTGTATGCCGCTCTTCTCAGCCCTTAGGCGACTCAGAGCTGTTTACAACAGTTTAGATATACACAATACAAAATCGTTAAGCATTTAAAAGCAATAGCATCACAAGTCATTAAACATCAGCATCAATACATCAATATAACAAATCCATCAGGTCTCATCAATGAAATCAGAATCCAAACTCGTTATCCATTATTCTGTGTTCCGATAACCAGTCAATCAATCACACTGCTTAGTCAAATGCCTGTTCAAACAGCCAGGTCTTTACTTTCCTCCGGAATGCCAGCAAGGAGGAGGTCGATCTAATATCTGCAGGAAGGGCGTTCCACAGCCGAGGGACCACCACTGAGAAGGCCCTGTCTCTCGTCCCTGCCAGGCGTGCTTGTGGAGCCGGCGGGATCAAGAGCAGGGCCTCCCCAGATGATCTTAATGTCCTAACTGGTTCGTAGGAGGAGAACCAATATTATACCAATATACTAATATTATATTAGTATTATTATACCAATATACTAATATTACACTTGTATTACTATACTAATATTTTACTATAATATTAGTATTATATCAGTATTGTAATATTAGCATTATTATAACAATATGCTAATATTATACTAGCATTATTATACTAATATATTAATATTGTGCTAGTATTATTATACTTACATACCAATATTATACTGGAATATTAGTATTATATCAATATTATAATATTAGTATTATTATTACACCCATAATACACTAATATTATACTATAATATAAGTATTTCATCAGTATTATAATATTAGCATTATTATAAAAATATACTAATATTACACTAGTATTATTATATTAATATACTAATATTGTACTATAATATATCAGTATTATATTAGCATTATTATACTAATATACTAATATTATACTAGTATTATTATACTAAGATACTAATATTATACTATAGTATTATATCAATATTACAATATTTTATTATACTAAGATACTAATATTATAATAGTATTATACCAATATACTAATATTATACTAGTATTATTATACTACTATACCAATATTATACTGGAATATAAGTATTATATCAATATTATAATATTAGTATTATTATTACACCCATAACACAGTAATATTATACTATAATATTAGTATTTCATCAGTATTATAATATGAGCATTATATTAGCATTATATATTCTCAGGAATATACTAATATTAAACTAGTATTATTATACTAATATATTAATATTGTACTATAATAGTATTATATCAGTATTATAATATTACTGTTATTATAACAATATACTAATATTGCACTAGTATTATTATATTAATATACGATATTAATATTAAACTAGTATTATTATACTAATATAATAATATTGTACTATAATAGTATTATATCAGTATTATAATATTACTGTTATTATAACAATATACTAATATTACACTAGTATTATACTAATATATTAATATTGTACTATAATAGTATTATATCAGTATTATAATATAATAATATTATAATATTACTGTTATTATAACAACATACTAATATTATGCTAATATTATTATACTAATATCATTATTATAATATTTGTATTATTATAGCAATATACTAATATTATACTATTATTATTATACTAATACCAATATTATACTATAATAGTATATCAGTATTCTAATCGTATTATTATACTAATATACTAATATTATACTATAATTTATAATATTATAATGTAATGCAGTATAATACTAATAATATTAATGTGATAATTATATATTTTATATTACTTGTAATATTTCTAATAATATTACAATATAATTTTCTAGTACAATATAATGATATATAGCAATCCCCAGATTAAAACCAGCCGCTATTCCAGGGGGCGGGGTCAAAGAAGGCAACGTTGTAGCCCCTCTGAAATGGCTAGGTGACCCCTCTGGGGGTCGTGACCCCCAGGTTGAGAACCGCTGATATAGATTAAAACCAGCTCACAGTGTTAAAAACAGTAAAAACGGCTTAAGACACCTACTTAGAGTCATAGTTGGAAGAGACCTCAAGGACCATCTAGTCCACCCCTCTTGTTTCAAGCACCCCCAACAGATGGCCATCCAACCTCTGTTTAAAGGCCTCCAAAGGAGCTGCGAGGCAGAGAGTTCCACTTTAGACACTTAAAACCTTTCAAGACCCTGCTTCACCCCAGGGCTGTCTCTTGAGAATGTTCTTCTCGGGAATATGCGATGTCATGGACTTTCTTGGAAACGTTGGGGTGCCCCAGGAAATGTTTGGGTGTCCGCCCATTGTCTTTGCTTTCCTTGCAGTTCGCTCAAGAGGGCAGGATGCCGCACAAGGTTGGGTTCACTGTTGTAAGTTCATCCGGGCATGAGGATGGCTTCAGTGCAAAAGAACTGATGGTCCACGCCCCGACCGTGAATGGATGGAGGTCACCAAGGTAGGCCATGGCGTCGTAGAGGTCCATAGGACCGTGCGTGATGTAGTCACCCCTCTGTATCGTGGGATCAAAGGGAGACACTGGGTTGTTGTAGGTTTTTCGGGCTGTATCGCCATGTTCTAGAAGCATTCTCACCTGATGTTTCTCCTGCATCTATGGCAGGCATCCTCAGAGGTTGCGAAGTCTCTTTGCCCAACTCCTTATCTAATGCTGCAGTTTCTGGCTCCTCTGACTGACCTTGAAGCCCTGCACTTTGCAAGTCAGCATATTGCAAGGGGTGTGCAATATGGCCATGTTCTACACATTCAGTTTACAGACTTCATTCAGGAATTTTGCCGCTGAAAGACAGCAGTTAAAACCTTGACAATTTAGAAGCATAATTACGTTGTCTGAGTCACTATAGTTTTTCAAGGAATCTATAACATGTCCTAGGTAGGCTTGGGCGATGAAGAAAAAAATTGGTTCTAAACTCGTTTCGTTTCTAGAATGCGCTAGCGTTTCGAAATTCTGAGGTCTTCCGAAATTTAAGATTTCAAAATTTCCGAAATTTCATAAATTACGAATCAATTCGTTAATGGCGGATGCAATTGCGCAATATGCTAAAAAAAACCTCCAAAAACAAACAACTATATTATATTATATTATATTATTATTATATTATATTGTTGTATATTATATTATAATATTATTATATTATTGTATATTATATATTATACTATATCATTATTATGTTATATATTATATTATTAATATTATATATATATATTATATTATATTATAATTATATATATATATATTATAATATATATATTATAATATATGATAATATTATAATATAATATTATAATATATATATAATATAAATATATAATAATAATATAATAATATAATATATATATTTATATAATAATATTATATATATATTATTTATATTATATATAATATAATATAATATAATAATATATAATATTATATAATAATATAATATAATATACAATACATTGCACCAGACATACGAAAATAATTACGAAATAATTACAAAAATTGGAAAAAATTGTTTCGATTCTCAATTACTCCTCACACTATTCCTGCATGGCTTGATATTGGATCGTAATATACAATACAATGCACCAGACATACGAAAATAATTACGAAAATTGGAAAAAATTGTTTCGATTCTTAATTACTCCTCACACTATTCCTGCATGGCTCGATATTGGATCGTAAGCTAATTTAAATACGAATCAATAACAAATTACGAAATTAACGAACTGGATCGCCCAAGCCTAGTCCTAGGTATTTGAAAAGGTTTACTTGCTCGATGTAGTGGCCCTTTATCTTCCAGACTTGTTTTTTATTGCTTTTCCCAAAAACCAGGATTTTGGTTTTATCATAGTTCACCTGCAGTTCATTCATCTCACAGAAATCAACAAATTTGTGCAAGAGTCTTTTTAAACCCACCTGGGAGAGGGATAGTAGGGCTGCATCATCCGCAAATAGCAAGAGGGGAACATGCTTTGGGCCAATCTTGGGACTATGCCCGTCTACTTGGGCCAGGTGAAGAAGACCGTTTTAATGCCACCGAATGCCACCAAATGTGAAGGTGCGAGTGGTAAAACACCCATTGCCACCTAATCTATGAGGGAAGCCGGGCAACGATCAATATCAACCTAGGAGCTATTTTATAAAGGGACTGTTAATTACAGAAGGCTTTATTCACTTGATAGCGTAGCGTTTACTTTCCTGGCTTGACTTTACTATTGCAGGCTGTTCAACTTAGGAGAAACTGTATCAGGCAGGAAAAAACAGTAACAAGTTTATTTTAACAGGAGTATAACATGTTTAACTGTTTCTTCTCAAGAGGCACAAATCTTGATGGTTACATTGGAAAGGTTTCATGAGTAATCTCAGGCATAGACTTCAAAACGTTTCACAGCAGGCACAGCAGGCTTAAACCCAGCCAAACCTTGATTCTTAATTCAGAATCAACAACCCCCTGTAGCTCTCACTACCGGGTCCTTTTCTGTAACCACTTTGGTCACCAATTAATTCCCTGAATCTCCACCCAGAGATTCAGTCTTCCCTATAGCACACCGGCTACAGACACATTCCCTGAATCTCCACCCAGAGACTCAGTCTTCCCAGTAGCTCACCGGCTTACTGACTGACTTTTTCAAAACAGCTGCCCCTGAAGAGGCAGTTGGCTCCGCCCCTGTTGCTATGGCAACTCAGCTAACGCCAAGCCACTCTCTCCAACAAAACATAATCTTCCATACTTACCATCCCTAAACTACTGTCCAAACTACACATAACCAAAGGAATAAAATTTACACATCGTCACACAGGGCTATAGGGAGATCATGCAAGAAGATGTTGAAGAGGATTTACCTATTTCTTTAAAGTGCTCTTTTACTTTGCTGTTTTTAAATTATCTTCAATAAAAGGATTGTTTTGCCTATTCAATGTGTGGTGTTTCCTGTCAGGATTATTTAGTTATGCATGTGTGTTTTTCAATGTGTTCCTATGTGCTTCAAGATGGATTAAGATGTATTTCAAGATGGATTCCATTCTGCTCTTTTGTGTATTAAGAAAACATAGTGCAGAGGCTGTGAAACGGTAACCTTGACAGAAATGAGATAATGTGTTCTCTGGCTGGGAAGAAGAGGGAGGATCTGGTCTCAGCCAGAAGTCAGATAAGCAGGTGTTCAGAGACCGTTGTTTTTGCCTAGTAGTTTATTTATTTATTTACTTTACTTTACTTATATACCGCTGTTCTCAGCCCGAAGGCGACTCAGTTCCTGTCTGTTGCTTGCTGTGAATAGACGTGTATAGATGTACTTAGTAAACTTAGTTTTCTGTTGTAACTGAAAGCTTACAGAGTCCTTTTTGAACACAGTGTCTGCTGATCTAGCAATCCTTCCGCTGGCGTCCTGGTAACACCACACGTTGCTACAGATAGCCTCTGGGGTCTGGTCTCTGGGGTCACCTGCTCTGGACGGCGCAGAGGCGCTGCTGCCTTTGGCGGTGCTCAACAGCCTCCTCCCGCCAATCCTGCAACTGTGCCAGGAGCCTCTTCCTCTGCTGCAGAAGCTCTCTGTTGGCCGAGGACATTTTGAAAAGTGACATCTTTTGTGTGTTTCCATTTTCAGGCTCTGCCAGTATCCCCAAGAGATTGTCCTGCAGATGGTGGAGCGATGTAGGATTCGAAAACTGCAGCTGCTGGCTCACCAGTATATGATCTCCAGCAAAATCGAATTCTATATCAGCGACAACTTGCCCGAGTACTTTGCGCCATACAAGTCGGAGAGGTTCCGGAGACTGGGGTAAAGCATCCACTTTCCCAAGCTCATTACGCTGTTGTTGTTCGTTGTGCTCAATGGGGAAGCTGCCTTGTATAAGGAATATCACAGGAGGGAATTGATAAAACAGGGAAATATATAACTGTATAGATATATTTCAATGACATCTGAACTGAGAGGTTTTTCAAAAGGCTTCTTCAATTGGGTACGCTGCCACCTTATTGCTTAGTATTCAGGCTGAGTTGTTTGTGTGGAGAGGATACTTAGTAACACCCTTCTGTGTTACTATAGTGTTTATTTTCTTCAGAGCGTTTAAATACCAATGACGTTCACACACAGGCTGTTGTAAAGTATTAACTACGAGGGGTATTTTTTAAGCAAGGTCTGTTTGAACATAAGTACACAACGAACGTTTATTTCAAAAAAGTAAATTTATTTTCAGAAAGTACATGCTTCACTCTTTTTTTTGACATAGTTGCCAAGTTTGTTCAAACACTTATCATACCTCTGAACCAATTTTAAAATACCCTTTTCATAAAAACTGCCGCCTGCTCCAATAACCAAATCATCTGTAAGCAAAGAAGGGCGACCGGAGTGGTCCTCATCATGGACGTTGTCACGGCCATCTTTGAATTGTCGTACCCACTTACGCACTTTACTTTCACTCATAACAGTATCACCGTACGCTTCACAAATCTGTCGATGGATTTCTGCAGCAGGCAGATTCCTTGCTGACAAAAAACCCGTATCACTGAGCGAACCTCACATGTGGCGGGTGAGCTGATAGTCTTAAACATTTTTAAAGCACAGAATAGAACCATACAGGTGAGCTACAGAGCGGAAACTGAGCATAGTTGTTCCCGAGGCATGCCGGTACATGACGCACGTGCTCATTGCGGTATGCGCGCGAACTACTAGTGTCTACAACAAAACGGACCTTACTTAAAAAATACCCTTCGTATAATGAAACGTTTATTTAACAGGCTTAAACTCTTCTGGTACAAATGCGTAATGGTTTCTGTAAGTTAATGGCACAAAAGCTTTTGGTTACGTTTGATGTACAATTCTTAGATGGGTACTGGGTTCAAATCTAGAGTTAACAAACCGGAGATTATCTCAGGAAACTAATCTCTGATGATAATTCCAAACCAAATTCCCACTTTCTGGAATCCAGCCAAATAACTTTGGCCTAGCCTTCCTCAGGAATAAAAGAAACAGACCGTAAGCAAGGTCCTGTTCCCACTGTCAGTATTCCTGGCTAATTCCTCTAGCCCTTGAATACTACAAAAGATTAACCCAATTCTCCTATCTAGCGCTATCCAACTGTGAACACCAACCGACTACCTAACTCTCAACTGACAAATCCCAACTGCCAAAACTCAAGCCTCAAATTCAAAAAGTGCACTTTTTTCCTCTATTTGAATATTAGGCTCTACCTTCTATTCTTAACCAATCAGGCACAGCTGGCGGGGACGAGGGACAGGGCCTTCTCTATGGTGGCCCCTTGGCTGTGGAACGCCCTTCCCATGGACATTAGATCAGCCCCTTCATTAATGGTGTTTTGAAGAAAACTAAAAACCTGGCTATTTGAACAGGCGTTCGGATAAACAGTGCAATGAATACGATGAATATAGGAAAACGGAATTACGGATGACGAGTTGGATCACGATTCTAGTTGCGAGACGTTGATGTGTTGTTTATTGATGTGTCATTGCTTTGTATATTATGCTGTTGTTGGTTTTTAAATATTGTATGTTGTTAGGTTTGACTTTTTGCTCTTGTTGTGAACCGCGTTGAGTCACCTACGGGCTGAAAAACTGCGGTATACAAGCAAAGTAAATAAATAAAAATAAATAAATAAATCCTGGCCATCTACTCTTTGCTTACTGGACTAGGACACGCCCCATCTAAGAAAACTTGACCTAAAACGGTGTCTCCCTGTTTCCCTATCCTAAGATGGCTGCCAGGGCTTCGCTAGGCCCACATTCTAACTGTTTAGGCCGTCAGGCTTCGCTAGGCCCACATTCTGGCTGCTAAAGGTAAGGGTTCTTCACACCTTGCTTCCAGTGGTCATCACTGACCCTTTCCCTTTGGTTGTACAGTTATGTCTCTCTCTCGGACAACGAAAAGACCAGCTACAGAGCCCGAGAGCTGAAATCGGTCTATGTGGACGCCGTTGGGCAGTACCTCAAGTTGACCTTCCACAAAAACTATGTCAATAGGTACAACTTGTACAGCCAGGTACGGTAAATTTGATTTATATTAAAACAAAGTTGGGGGAGGAAGGCGGGGTATAAATATAGGAAATAAATAAACAAACAAATACATAGAAACAACACCCAAGAGGAAGAGGAGAGTACCCACGTTTCATTGCTCGTCTCTCCTTCTCTTTTTAGGTTGCTCTTGTGGCCATCAATATCATTGGAGAGGCGGCAGATTTCAACATTGACAGTAGCCACGTAAGTTGTGCAGTGGTGGGACGGGGAACACTCCGCAGGGCTTCTGTGGGAGGAAAACACCATGCGCATTTCTCTCCGTCTTTCCAAAGGTGTCTCGGGAGAAGCTGATCGATCATTACCTTGGGAACAACCCAGACGATTCGGCTTTAGATGGAACTTACACTGGGTAAGGATCACTGCTATACAGGTCCTTGACTTCTTATTTATTTATCACTAGCTTGGGAACCCAGACCCGTCGCTACCCGAGTTATTTGTGATTGGCATTGTTTGTCTGTTCTGTAGTTTTAGTCCAGATCCAATGTCTGGTGGTTCAGTAGGTGTGGGTGAACTCAAGTAGCCGAGCTAAACCATCTCCTTGGTTCAACGAGGAGTTGGCAGCGATGAAGCGAAGGAAGAGGAAACTAGAGAGTGTGTGGCGTTTGGCTCCGAGCGTGCCAAATCGAACACGGTTTGTGGCCTTTCTAAGGACATATGCCGCGGCAATAAAAGCCGCAAAGAAATCTTTCTTTGCAGCCAATATTGCGTCTGCTAAGAACCGTCCGGCGGAGCTGTTTCGAATTGTCAGAGGCCTATTAAATCCCTCAGGATGGGAGCACTGACAACTCAACAGCCCGTTGTGAAGCATTTGCTCGGTTCTTCGCAGACAAAGTCACTTTCAACAGAAAGGAAACCATGAAAATGAACAAAATCTGGCTACGATCCAGAAGCTTCAACTAGTCCAACGATCGGCAGCCAGGTTGTTAACAGGAGCGGCGCTCAGGGAGCATACAACCCCCTTGTTGCGCCAGCTCCACTGGCTGCCAGTTTGCTACCAGGCCCAATTCAAAGTGCTGGCTTTGGCCTATAAAGCCCTAAACGGTTCTGGCCCAACTTACCTGTCCGAACATATCTCCCTTTACGAACCACGGAGGACTTTAAGATCACCTGGGGAGGCCCTGCTCTCAGTCCCGCCTTCGTCACAAGCACGTTTGGCGGAGACGAGAGACAGGGCCTTCTCAGTGGTGGCCCCTCAGCTATGGAATGCCCTCCCTAGGGAAATCAGATCTGCTCCCTCCCTCTTAATGTTCCGAAGGCAAGTTAAAACGTGGCTATTCGAGCAAGTGTTTACAAATACAGAGTAGCTAATATAGGAAATCGAATGACCTGACAATGGAATTGGACAATGCTTGAAAGTAATGAGACGCTGATGAGGTTGTTTTTATTATTTTTGTGATGTCTTATACTGTTTAATGTTTTTTATCTATTATGTTTTATGTATACTGATTTGCTGGAAACCGCCTTGAGTCGCTAATTGGCTGAGTATATATATATATATGCACATTCTCCTTACATAGATTGCTTTGCATTTGTGCTGACATCCAACAAGTATGTTGGAGAGCCACATCCACTGTTTTAGCGTGGTGAGATCTGTTCCACATTGGGCATGCATACTCAGCAGCAGAGTAGCCTAGCACAAGGGCAGATGCCGTCGCTGTGTCTGGTTGTGGACGCCAGGTTATGCCAGTCAGCTTTCATATGATATTGTTTCTAGTGCCCATTTTTTGCTTGTAGGTCAGGTCCTTGGTCTCCGCCCAACCAAGTCCCCACCTATTTCCATTTCTCTTCTAAGTGCGTCTGCCCCTCTTTCGCCCCAGGAAGCCAGATTCCATTTCGCCGCTGGATGATCTGGCCTTTGATATGTACCAGGATCCGGAGGTTGCCCAGATAATCCGCAAACTGGACGAGAAGAAGTACGACGCAGTGCGGCAGGAACACTACGACCACGCCAAGAAGCTCAAGCAAGCTATTGCCGACCTGCAGAAGGTAGTGTCATGCCCCCTGTGTTGCACTCCAGGACAGGAAAAGCCAACTGACTGTAAATACCACACCGTTGATTGGAAAACAATTCTTTCATTGCAGATAATTAAAAAGCAGCAAAGTAAAAAGCACTTTAAAGAAATAGGTAAATCCAGTTAGGTACGAAAATAAGCAGGTGCAAAAATAGTCCAGGGTAAAGTTCAGCAAAGTCCTTAAAAGCAAACTCTACACAACTCTTTAAACACCACACTGTTGAATAGGTAAAAACAATCCCTTTATTGAAGATAATTCAAAAGCAGCAAAATAAAAAAGCACTTTAAAGAAATAGGTAAATCCAATTAGGTACGAAGATAAGCAGGAGCAGAAATAGTCCAGTGTAAACTTAAGCAAAGTCCACACAACTCTTTAAACACCACACTGTAGAATAGGTAAAAACAATCCTTTTTTGAAGATAATTAAAAAGCAGCAAAGTAAAAAGCACTTTAAAGAAATAGGTAAATCCAATTAGGTATGAAGATAAGCAGGAGTAAAAATAGTTCAGGGTAAAGTTCAGCAAAGTCTATGAAAGCAAAGTCCACACAACTCTTTAAACACCACACTGTTGAATTGGTAAAAACAATCCTTTTATTGAAGATAATTAAAAAGCAGCCAGGTCAAAAGCACTTTAAAGAAATAGGTAAATCCAATTAGGTACGAAGATAAACAGGAGCAAAAATAGTCCAGTGGTAAAAATAATCCTTTTATTGAAGATAATTAAAAAGCAGCCAAGTAAAAAGCACTTTAAAGAAATAAGTAAATACAATTAGGTACGAAGCAGGAGCCAAAATAGTCCACGGTAAAGTTCAGCAAAGTCCATAAAAACGAAGTCCACACTTCTCTAATATAATCCAGGAAACATTAATCCAAGGCATGAGTAGGTATTCATACAATCCAAGAATGCAAACCAAGAAATACACTTGATTCTAAACCAGTCTTTCTCAACCTGGGGGTCGGGACCCCTGTAGGGGTCGCGAGGAGGTGTCAGAAGGGTCGCCAAAGATCATCAGAAAACATAGAATTTTCTGTTGGTCATGGGGGTTCTGTGTGGAAAGTTTGGTTCAATTCTATCGGTGGGGTTCAGAATGCTATTTCATTGTGGGTGAACTACAAATCCCAACAACTACAACTCCCAAATGGCATGGTCTATTTTCTCCAAACTCTACCAGTGTTCACATTTGGGCATATTGAGTACTTGTGCCAAGTTTGATCCAGATCCATCATTGCTAAAGTCCACAGTATTCTCTGGATGTAGTTGAGCTACAACTCCAAAAACTCATGGTCAATGTCCACCAGACCTTCCCAGTGTTTTCTCCTGGTCGTGGGAGTTCTGTATGCCAAGTTTGATTCAATTCCATCATTGGTGGAGTTCAGAAGGCTCTTTGATTGTAGGTGAACTATAAATCCCAGCAACTACAACTCCCAAATGACAAAATCATAATTTTTTGAGTGCTGGTCACTCCTTGTGTTGTGAGAGGTTTTGTTGCCAAATTTGGTGTGATTTCGTTCACTGGTTCTTTTGTTTTTAAGGTACTTATGCACTGAGCATTTTTATATATATAGATGATTGGTTAACAGGGTCCTTGGAAAGCAACCGGACGGCGGAAGGTTGAGAACCACTGTTCTAAACGATGCTTCATCTGACTATATTTCCCATACTTGGAACTTTTATCCCCTCGTTAAGCTATTCCAATCACTCAGAAATTGGTTTCACTTTGAGATTCCCTTATCTTTTTCTCTCGGTTCCTGGCAATCCGCCGAAGCCACTGTTCGGTCTGCCTGTTTTGACTAATCTCCTGCCGTCTATCTATTTGCTCATTGGGCCAGATGCTGAGTTGTTTTCAAGTCCCAAATCCTGGGAACCCTCTGGTAGCAATTCAGTGAGTACACTACCATCGCTACACCCTTCAGGGACATTCTCATGGGAAACTACACTTTTCACAGGTCGGTGAGCGGCTGGGCCGCTACGAGGTGGAGAAACGCTGCGCCGTCGAGCGGGAGGACTACGACCTCGCCAAGCAGAAGAAGCAGCAGATGGAAGAGTACCGCCTCAAAGTGTACCAGCAGCTGGAGCTACACAACCTCCTGGATCCGGACCTGATGGTGGGTGACGACGGCGGCAATGCATGTCCCTGCATGTTGCAGCCCCCCCCCCTCCCCGGGCCCGAACCCCTTTGTTGTTTCAATCCCGGTATTAAAAAACTCTAAAATTACAACAGCAAAACAACAGAGAGGAAACATTCAGGCACATCTAATCACCTCTCAACAAAAGATTGCCCCAGGCACTGCCTGGCCATCAAATGCTAATCAAGGTGGTCAGTTGAAACAATCACACCCAGTTCCAGCAGACAAGAGTTCTTTCTCCCACCATGGTCATTCCACAGATATTCCATTTTCCTACTTCCAACAGACCTCACAACCTCTGAGGATGCTTGCCATAGATGCAGGCGAAACGTCAGGAGAGAATGCCTCTAGAACATGGCCATATAGCCCGGAAAAAAACGTACAACAACCCAGTGATTCCGGCCATGAAAGTCTTCGACAATAGATGAAACACAATCAAAAATAGATTAAATTGATTAAAGCATAATAATTTTAATAATAATGTTTAATAATAATTTGTAATAATAATAATAAAATTAATAATGTTTAATAATAATAATTTTAATAATAATAATAATAGTAATAGTGTTTAATAATAATAATTTGTAATAATAATAATGTTAATAATAATTTTAATAATAATAATGTTTAATAATAATAATTTGTAATAATAATAATACATTTAATAGTAATAGTGTTTAATAATAATAATTTGTAATAATAATAATTTTAATAATAAGTTTAATAATAATAATTTTAATAATAATTGTGCATTGTAATTGCTTATTGGTAATTTATGGATAATGTGTTAAGTCAATTGTTATATGTTGTATGGAACCACTGCTGTTTCTATGTTTTTACTGTTTGTGAACCGCTGTGAGTCGCCTTCGGGCTTGAGATACAGCGGTATATAAAATAACATACAATTATAAATTAATGTATTGTCGAAGGCTTTCATGGCTGGAATCACTAGGTTCTTGTGGGTTTTTTCGGGCTATAGAGCCATGGTCTAGAGGCATTTCTCCTGACGTTTCGCCTGCATCTATGGCAAGCATCCTCAGAGGTTGAGAAGGTCTGTTGGAAGTAGGAAAATGGGTTTATATATCTGTGGAATGGCTGGGGTGGGGCAAGGAGCTCTTCCCTGCTGCAGTTAGGTGTGAATGTTTAGCTGATCACCTTCATTAGCATTTGAAGGCCTGCCTGAGTCTGGGAAAATCTGTTGCTGGGAGGTGTTAATCTGTGCCTGGTTTTTTCCTCTCTGTTGTTTAGCTGTTATAATTTTAGAGTTTTTAAATACTGGTAGCCAGATTTTGTTCATTTTCATGGTCTCTTCCTTTCTGTTGAAATTGTCCACATGCTTGTGGATTTCAATGGCTTCTCTGTGTAGTCTGACATGGTGGTTATTGGTGTGGTCCAGCATTTCTGTGTTCTCAAATAATATGCTGTGTCCAGGCTGGTTCATCAGGTGCTCTGCTATGGCTGACTTCTCTGGTTGAAGTAGTCTGCAGTGCCTTTCATGTTCCTTGATTCATGTGTTGGGCAATGCTGCGTTTGGTGGTCCCTATGTAGACTTCTCCACAGCTGCATGGTATACGGTAGACTCCTGCAGAGGTGAGAGGATCCCTCTTGTCCTTTGCTGAATAGCATTTGTTGGATTTTCTTGGTGGGTTTGTAGATTGTTTGTATGTTGTGTTTCCTCATCAGCTTCCCTATGCGGTCAGTGGTTCCCTTGATGTATGGCAGGAACACTTTTCCTCTGGGTGGATCTTCATCTTTACTCTCGTGGCTTGTTCTTGGTCTTGCAGCACCTCTGAGGATGCTTGCCATAGATGCAGGCGAAACGTCAGGAGAAATGCCTCTAGAACATGGCTCTATAGCCCGAAAAAACCCACAAGAACCTAATAATAATAATGTTTATAATTTATTGTAATTTGTAATAATAATAATTTTAATAATAATAATAATAACCTAATAATAATAATGTTTATAATTTATTGTAATTTGTAATAATAATAATTTTAATAATAATAATAATTTGTAATAATAATAATAATTTTAATAGTAATAGTGTTTAATAATAATTTGTAATAATAATTTTAATAATCGTAATTTTAATAATAATAGTGTTTAATAATTTATTTATTTTTGAGATTTGAGAAACTGCAAGTCGCTTCTGGTGTGAGAGAATTGACCGTCTGCAAGGACGTTGCCCAGGGGACGCCCGGATGATTTGATGTTTTTATCATCCTTTGGGAGGCTTCTCTCATTTCCCTTCAGGAGGAGCTGGAGCTGATAGAGGGAGCTCTCCCCGGATTCGAACCTGCGACCTGTCGGTCTTCAGTCCTGCCGGCACAGGGGTTTAACCCACAGGGAGCTCCTAGTGTTTAGTAATAATTTGTGATAATAACAATAATAATTTTAATAATAATATTTAATAATAATACTTTGTAATAATAATAATAATAATGTTTAATAATAATAATGTTTAATAATAATTTGTAATAATAATTTTAATAATAATGTTTAATAATAATAATGTTTAATAATAATTTGTAATAATAATAATTTTAATAATGTTTAATAATAATACTTTGTAATAATAATTTGTAATAATAATGTTTAATAATAATTTTAATAATGATGTTTAATAATAATACTTTGTAATAATAATAATTTGTAATAATAATAATGTTTAATAATAATAATAATAATAATAATAATAATAATTTTTGTACCCCGCCTCCATCTCCCCAAAGGGACTCGGGGCGGCTTACATGGGGACAAGCCCGATCAGCATAGTTAAAATAATACATTCAGTGATAGTCTCTAAAGCTCTAATTCAGTGGTTCTCAACCTGTGGGTCTCCAAGTGTTTTGGACTACAACTCCCAGAAATCCCAGCCATGTCTCTTAGGATTTCTGGGAGTTGAAGACCAAGACATGTGGGGACCCAGAATTTGAGAACCACTGTTCTAAACCACCGCCTCCTCCTGAGAAAAATGTATAATATCACAAAGGACGACCACCTCACCTGCCTCATAGGAAACCTGCTACAAAACAGAAGCTTCTTTGTTGAGTTCCAGGGCCAGAGAAGCAGATGGCGGAAACAGAAAAACGGCCTGCCTCAGGGGAGCGTGCTTGCTCCATCCATGTTCAACATCTACACAGTTGACCAGCCATTGCCAGAAGGGACAGAGAGTTTCGTCTATGCTGATGATCGTGCCATCACCACTCAAGCAGGGAGCTTTGAGATGGTTGAACAGAAGCTCTCCGAAGCTCTAGGTGCTCTAACTGCCTATTACAGGGAAAACCAGCTGATCCCTAATCCATCTAAAACACAGACATGTGCCTTTCACCTTAAGAACAGACAAGTATCCCGACCTCTGAGGATCACCTGGGAAGGAATCCCACTGGAGCATTACAGCGCACCCAAACGCCTGGGAGTCACTCTGGACCGTGCTCTGACCTACACGAAGCACTGCCTGAACATCAAGCAAAAAGTGGGTGCTAGAAACAATATCATACGAAAGCTGACTGGCACAACCTGGGGATCACAACCAGACACAGTGAAGTACGCTGAGTACGCATGCCCATCTCACCACACTAAAACAGTGGATGTCGCTCTTAATGAGACACAGGATGTTTACGCCTCACACCACTGGAGAAATTACACTGCTTAGCCGGTATTGCACCACCTGACATCCGCCGGGAAGTAGCAGCCAATAGTGAAAGTGTGGTGGCCGTACGGGGAGAAATAAAATAATTATAATTTAAAATGAAAATAATGAGGAGAAAGGCTTACCTGTCCGTTCTTGAGGTAGAAAGTAGAGTCTTTGGTAGAAGGGAAAGTTAACAGATGACTCAGAAACCTTTCAGGCTGGCTCTATCTTATGTCAATATTTGAAGAGGCCAAGGCTGGAACTAAGCTAAATTCGGAAGGTCAAAGAGTGGTGCCAAGAACAAATGGATAACTATTGATCTAAAAAGAACAAACACCTGAAAGTATGATCTAAGAGCGCCATCTCCTGTCTGGTTGAAGTAGACAAATTGAATATACTTTTTATAATGATCAATTGGAAAACCTGATGTATTATGGATATATTGTGAATGTATTGTGAATATAATTAAGGAGAATTAATAAGGGAAATGCATGCTTCGAATAAATTAAAGATACATATATGAAGACATATGTATAAAGAGAAATATATGAAGTTATGATTCATTCTAAAGATTATGTAAGTCATCTGGGAAAGTGGCTGGTCAGCTGATGAAAGGGGAGCAGTGGAAATTATAGTGTTCTGCCAACAAGTGTTCTTGGCTGCGATTCCTCGAGGACAAATTGATGTTGATTAAGATTATGAAAATGTCAAGATTCTTATGCGCATGTGTAACCCTGAGAATTATGCTATAAATGCTGGAGCAAATCTGCCTTCCAGTGTGTGTCAGATATTGTATTCTGAACACCCAATCAAGCTTGGTTGAATAAAGAGCCTGGAATCAGTTGCTGTCTCCTTTCTCTTCCTTCCTGATTGCACTCAACTGATCTCGGGTAACGAATCTGCTGCAACAAATGGGGGCTCTCCGGGACCTGAGTCAACAGCGAAGGAACAGAAACGAAGCCTTTTGAGGGCTTGATTGCCGCCACTCAGCAGGTCAGGTAAGACGACGATCAGAAGGGGTGATACGGGTACCCACATTGAAAGAAACGACCCGGCTGATCCTCGCCTTCCCTGCCTTCAGACTGGGGTACATTGAGACTGGGGTACATTGATTCCACGGCACAGGTAAAGGGAAAAGGCTAGCCTTAAGGTACATGGGAAGTACCTGGGGAATTTTTCACTGAAGATTACTGCAGAAATCAGGTGAAAACCCCTCGAGTGACGTTTTCGCACAGAAATCGCACTCACAAGGTTAAAGGAACACACTTTCAGGGGGAAAGTGAAACATTTTTGGGGGAACAGGTTTTTTCAAAGGAGGTACTGCAGACCTCAAGAAAGAAAA